GCCCCGCCCAGGGGGGCGGGGCCTCGGCCTTAAGACACCTGTGTGAGTTAAAGGGCCAGTCTGTGCAGGTGGGGGGTTTCTCTTTTTTTCCTTTTCTGTGCATTTAAATGGAAGTTTTTATTTTACTGAAGCAAAAGGGTTCATTTTTTAACCTGGATAAGCTCAGAGGAACAAAAAATACTGACTTATGCATCATCTAAAGCCAAAATATGACTGTGAAACCTGTTGGTTCGCCCCAAAATAGTCAGATTTGCATCACAAAACGCAAAAAAAAAAGTGGTTTAACCCCTCTGAGAACATTCAAATGCAAGTTTTTATTTAATTGAACCAAAAGGCTTCAATTCTGAATCTGGATAAGCTCAGAGAAATAAATAAGACTGACTTATGTATCATCTAAAACTAAAGAATGACTCTGAATCCTGTTGGTTCGCCCCAAAATAATCGGATTTTTATTTCATTGAAGCAAAAGGCTTCATTTCTGAATCTTATCAGCTTGGAGAAAGAAATAAAACTGACTTATGCATCATCTAAAGCCAAAATATTACTCTTAATCCTGTTGGTTCGCCCCAAAATAGTCAGATATGCATCACAAAACGCACAAAAAAAAGTGGTTTAACCCATCTGAGAACAATCAAATGCAAGTTTTTATTTAACTGAACCAAAAGGATTCTTTTCTGAATCTTATCAGCTCGGAGAAATAAAAAATACTGACTTATGTATCATCTAAAGCCAGAGAATGACTCTGAATCCTGTTGGTTCGCCCCAAAATAGTCAGATTTTTATTTAATTGAACCAAAAGGCTTCTTTTTTAATCTGTATAAGATCAGAGGAACAAAAAAATCTGACTTATGTATCATCTAAAGCCAGAGAATGACTCTGAAACCTGTTGGTTCGCCCCAAAATAGTCAGATATGCATCACAAAACGCACAAAAAAAAGTGGTTTAACCCATCTGAGAGCCCTACATTCGGCTTTAAACTGGGCAATAAAATAAAACCCAGAAAGTTCCTGTTTCTACGGTTGGATCTGGGCTCTGTAAAGCTCCACATGTGGAAACTAAAAACCCCGGAGCCCTTAAAATGCTCCTTACTAGGTTTTCTTTAACAAATATCTGACCCAGATGTTTATTTCCAGCTCACTTTAGCTAAAAAACACTGTTTTGTTGAGAACAAAAAGCTCAGATCATGTCAGGAAACTAGTTAAAACCCCAAAATTCCTGGTTCTATCCTCTTTAGACCCGGCCCATTCATTTATTTTCATTATAGTGGACATTTTGTCCACCTGTACCCCCCTAAGAGTTACCCTATAAAGCCCTATAGTTATAGCCTTTCCAGTGATGAGCCATGTGACAGCTTTGCATGCTGGGAACTTTACTTTTTTTCCTAAGAGTTCTTAGGTAAATATCCCTTTCAAGACATCTTCTTTTTTATTATTTAATTATCTAAAGCCTGTTTTATTTTTTATTATTTAATTATCTAAAGCCTGTTCTATTTTCCCATGAAAATCATCCTGTTGTCCTCCACAGTGGACATGCTATGAAATTAAAATTATTATTATTTTTTTTTTAATTGAAATTGTAATGTTCTTTTTTTAGGTCCAAATACATGGAAAATCACATCAAAAAATAAATTTGAAGACACTTTTTTTCTTTGGATCTCAGATATGGTTGGATTTGGGTTCTGTAAAACTCCACCGGTGTAAAAACTAAAAAAACCCCCCCGGGGCCCTTTGACCTCCTTAACTGCACCTTAAACGCGTTTGGCTGGTTTACGGACGATTTCCTATAGAAGCTTGCACCAACCTGCCCTAAAACCCGCCCGGCCTCTTTACACTTTTATAGGCAAAATTCAAACGTCTACACGGGGATTTCTGCACATCCAGAGCAGAAAAAAGCTGCTTTTGCACCTGATTTTTCCCCAAAAAAAGCACCTAATCCAAGAAAAATAGGAAGAATATTGTGATTTTTTTTAGTCTGGAGTCTTTCTTTGGTCCCTCAACAACATATGAAGAAAAAAAGATTAGTATATATATTAGATATAATACTAATAGATATAATATTTATAGTAAATTTTGCTCTTTTATTTGAAAGTTTGTTGAACCAACAATAATAAGATTATTATTAATATTAGATATAATAATAATAGATATAATATTAATAGTAAATTTTACTCTTTTATTTGAAAGTTCGTTGAACCAACAATAATAGGATTAATATTAATATTAGATATAAAAATAATAGATATAATATTAATTGTACATTTTGCTCTTTTATTTGAAAGTTTGTTGAACCAACAATAATAAGATTATTATTAATATTAGATATAAAAATAATAGATATAATATTAATAGTACATTTTACTCTTTTATTTGAAAGTTTGTTGAACCAACAATAATAAGATTAATATTAATATTAGATATAAAAATAATAGATATAATATTAATAGTACAT